AATACTGAGAGCTTAGTCTTCAGACTGAGCTGTGTTTTAGTTACATTTGGTCGGGCTAGTTCACACAGAACGCAAGTGGCTACTCCAATTCGCCGGTCGATCTCTTCCTCCAATTTTCTCTCACTAGTAAACACAATTTCAAGGAACTTGCACTTCTCCACCTGCTCCACTGCCTCTCCGTTTATCTGAAGAGAGCAACGGGCATTCGAACAAGAAACCACTAAGCTTTTCGTTTTAGATGCCTTCTCACGCATGCAGGTCACGTTGTCCTCTGCTGCGAACCTTTCCATGCAGTACCGTATATCAGTTTCAGAAGACGGCAATAAAACAAGATCGTCTGCAAACAGCAGAAACAGTAGCCTTTTCGTCTTCACATCTCCTGCACCGATACACTCATTGCCTTGGCTGCTCCTGACTGTTCTCTCCAGGTACAACACAAACAGGAAAGGGGCCATCACGTAGTTTTTACGGAGACCAGTGCAAGCGTTGAATGGTTTTGACTTGACGCCATTTACTATGACCCAGCGCCAAACAATATAGTAAGTGAATGGCCCGTAGCATCGATCCCATATTTTGGCGGGCAGGGCCACAGTCTTTAGCTTTTTTAATTTTCATTCACATTCTATGATGTATAACATGTGTGATAAGAAAATCACCAAGTCGAACCCCATCGGTTAGGAAGCTGCAGTACTCTTTTTAAAAATTGTTTTGTACTCTAATAATTTTATAATTTTTTGATAAAGTTTGCTTTCTTATGAGTAGATGGTGGCCATTTCGAGTCATTATAGTACAAATGTACTGTAACAAATGGGCCTTACCTGCTCTACCAACACATTTATTCATGACTTGCTTTTAATCATGCATTTACACCGGATAACCATGTGGTAAGTGAACAGTGGGCTGGCCAGGAGCTGGTTGCTTTTAATTCTGTTAACGCTGACCTTGTCGTTCGATATTGCCTGCAAGAACCCTATCGTCCTTTATGTTCAGATCTTTGCTGGCATTCTGAAACAAGCTCTATATCGTGCAAAGTTTTGGGCTCGCGAAATGAGCGGGATAGATAGTAGCAGTTCATCGCAGTGTTAACAACATGATCTAATGGCAGCCAATATTTTTCGCTCATGTGTGAGATCGATCGCCTAAAGTTTCTGGTTATTTAGCAGCATATTGTTACTGTACTGTCATCGTAACCTCGCGGAAATTTCTTAATCGCTTCTCCTTGTAGCGCTGTCCTTCACGTTTGTGACTATTATTTGTCAAGCTACTTATATTTCGCAATTGGCCAACAGTGGTTTGTGCGAAATCTCGAAAAATGGTTTTTAAATGATTGTGAATTAATTTTTTTTCAAATGTTTTGCCCTCTTACTGTACTTTTTTATAAGTGTAGTAGTTTCAAGAAACATTCGAGTATTTTTCTCTCTGCCATAGCGGTTAAACATGAACTTGAGTTTAAGTATGAGACTTTTTCGTTTTACGGCACTACTAATGTGCTCAGTGACAGCCTCAGCGAAAGAACAGGACAAAAATGTCTTTGAGTGCCACTTCAGTGTTTAAATATCTCTTTTCCAGGACGGACTTCATTCTAACCGCAAGCTGCGATGGCCACTTGAAATTTTGGAAAAAGCTGCATAACGAAGGAATAGAATTTGTCAAACATTTTCGATGTCATTTAGGTTTGTTTTGCTTTTTTTTGTTTATATGTTTAACATTTTGTTCTAATGATGAAGTACTTAATTAATAAGTTACTGAAAAGTTCAGAAGATTCAGTAAAATAGTTTTTAACATTTCAAATGGTAAAAGAGTTCATTTTGCGGGAGATGGCAACGTGTTTTGAGGAGACAGTACATAAAATCTTTAATTACAAACATCCTGTAGAAAATGCTGACTTTTCAGACTGAACTCAGCTCATGTTCAGAGGACCCTGATAGTTGCACTGCGTCATCCTAACCCGCATAAAAAATTAAGTCTCTCATATCTCGTTATAACCTTGAAGACAGGTCGAATTTGGTCCGCGACATCAGTTTCTTGCTTGAAATGATTTTAAAGAAATTTAAATTTGCTTTTATTTTCCGTTCGTGATATTCTGAAATAAAGCTTTGTTAATATTCATTATTTTCCAGTGGCATAACAGCTTATTATCTCATCTCAAAATTCTGGTAGCTTCTTTTCGCAGTAAAAAAGGCATTTAGCGTCTGAAGTGTTTATTGGTTAATTTCTGTAATTAAGATGTATTTTCCGTCATCCGAAAGTTTACTTCTTCAATGTTGTATTCACAGTTATTCTGGCAGTAAAATTAAATACGTTTTATTTAATAAAACGCCGTGTGTTCGTCGCATTATTTGCGGTTCTTGATGGTGGTTGTTTCTGAAAATAGGCTTGAGGTGAGTTCGATTTCAGCGATAGCTAACTTTCAGGGTACGAGACGAAGCCCATTAAGTTGGCGCAGAGTTCGTATCCTTTCTCGACGATAAATGATTTTTTTCAGTCGAGAGATGTATGTCTACCTCTTTTCAACCCTCACGCTTTGATCATTAAGAAAAATAGCATGCGATTGATGCGTAAACGTGATGTACAACTCTGCACCAATTTGATTAGCAACTGTAATCAAGAAAAGAAAGTATTTAATTGAAATCTACGCTCAAGGAGGCTATTTTTCATCGTTGAGCAACTTTAGTTGTAATTAATTACATCCTTCAAGAACATTGCCACGAACAGGTTTCCTAAGCTTCAGATATAATGGTCGGACTAAGAGAGTGTCGTATATCATCTTCTTGATCTACATCTTTCGATCGCATTTTCCTAATTATGATCATCCAGGTGGCGTGAGTAAAGTACACCCTTTTCATTTCCTTATGTCTTCCTTCCACTGCTTGGATTTTTCCGGTCCAGTTTATGGGATGTTCTTATTAATTCAGAAATTAGATGGCACAATAGAAATATCACTGTGAGTTTGAAAGTGAATAATAATCAATGTCTATCAGCCCTTTCGTCGTTTAGCAGCTTTCATCCTGATAAACCTGCTTTATTTGTATTGTTGTTTTCAATTTTTCGGTATAAGCTATAAAAATCCTGATGTTGCTGGAAAGACTTAGGTACGCAGTTGACTTGAGACTTCTCCCAAATCAAGCAGGCTTCTAACAGATATTCTTGCCCTGAACTAATTTTTATTCTGCTAGGTTCAATGAGCAATGCCGACGATTCCGGTTACCTTTGTTTGCCAGTTTCTCCAACTTTACGGCTTAACCTGATTCATTGCATTGTTCGAAGAATCGTGCCATTGATGAGCTGCTTGCGATATCTTTTTAATGCGCTGTTAAAAGCTCCAAATTTCGATGTACCTATTTCTTCAGAGGGAAAGTTGCTATTGATTTCTTTTTGGTAGAATCAGCGAGCAGTCTTTAGTGTCGTCGAGGAATTTAATACTCGTTTTCTTGTGACTCGTCTCTGCCCAGTGTTCTGCTAGCGAGCCCATTCATATATGTTTAGTATATTTGTTCCTTCAGAGATAAGGGTCTATAGTAGGGATGTACGATGGTTGTTGGTGATGGTTCGCAATTGTAGTTAACTGGCGGGATGTACACATATGAACGCCTTATTGAAGCATATTTTGTTTAGTTAATGATTTATTTAGTTCTGTTTTCGGCCGTTCATGGCTTCCGATCTTTTCCACCGCGGATTCAGGCAGTAGAATCGCTTCACATCCAGTGCGTCTTTTGTTCAATTTTTCATTTTGATATCCGTGGCAACAGATAGTCGTGAAAGAAAGACGGCAAATTCTTAATTTCAGTTTTAGACCGTACACATTGATGTTTGTTTCTGTGTTTATTCATTTCAAATTTATTACAGCGGTCGCGATGTTATCCGCACAGTTCAGCTGTTGTAGGCAACACCCTAATTGACGAAATGATCTAATTGCTGCCAAAGACAGCAGTTGCGTACTTCCTTGTTAGGTTGCCAGTCGTTGAACATTATATTTCCGGAATCTGCTGATTCTTTCCACACCCTATTGTCAATCAAAGGATTATTCCAGCATGAACCCTGGGAGTAAAATAAATTTTTTGTGCTGTTGTTGAATGTTGCTACTAATCTAATTACTGAAAAATCTTTTCGCACATTGCCGTCGTAAGTTTCTTCAGCAATGTTGTAACGGTTTTTAACATTCATGCATAGTTAACGGTTTTACCGAACAGGGTTTAAAACTTATGCATAAGCGTAGTCCAAAATCCAAACCTTTTTCTAAATCTAAATTTAAGCCTAAGTCTTGGTTAAACTTAAGATTCACCGTTTCTTTTGTAGTTAGTACAAGTTTGAAGCAGTTTATAACATTCACGTAAAGTAAACGTTTTCATAGGCACGGAAGGATGTATCGATTTGTAGCCTATTTTAATGGCAGTTAATGATATTACCGATTCATGGATCAAGGTACTAGTGAAACAGGGCAATCTGAAACTCAGTATTTATCGACCTGCTTCGATGCCACACATCAGCATCTTCATCAGGCTAAAGTCTCATCGTGATCCTTGCGAACAGTATTTCCCTTTTTCTCTTCAGCAGGACCTGCACATATACAGGATTTAGATTGTCCTGTTTCACGGTTACCTTAATCCGAGGATTAGGAATATCATTAACTTATGTTAATGTGGGCTACGGATCGATGCATCATCCCATACTCATGAAAACTTTTACTTTGCCTGAATGTTACAAACCTTTCAGAGTTACTACACTAACATGCAACTCTCAAGCTTGAATTGATCCACTCGATTTCATTTTTCCTAACTAGAAATAATAAGTTTGTTTATGCATTAATTAAATTGATGCATTTTTCTGAAGAAATTGTAGGTCTTTTTAAGCTTAGCAATAATAGTTTATTTAAATTATGTTCTGAGGCAGTGATGATATGATAAAACATTTTCGATGATTGAAAACGTTGAAGTTATGCGTTGATTTTCTGTTTTATTGAAGGGACGATTATTCAGATGGAAGTGAATAGCAACGGCACGCTGATGTGTACCATTTCCGATGATAAATCGATGAAGATTTTCGACGTGATAAATTTCGACATGATAAACATGATGAAGTTGGGATACACGCCATGTAGCTGTGCTTGGATTCACAATCCGGCGGATTCGATTGCGGCGGTTGCTGTAGCGGAGCAGGGGACGTCAAAAATACACGTCTATGACGGTCGTGGAGCGAGCACACCGATTCGCACTCTAGAAAACCTTCATAGCAAGGAGGTAATCGTCATGCAGGTATGTAGCAACAGCTGCGTTTGAGCAATTCTTCCGCATCATTGGTTACATGATCAATTTTTCGAATTGAAGTACAATTCAGTGTTCGAAACAGTGGTTTCCGTTGACAAGATCGGCATCGTCGAGTACTGGACAGGTCCAAAGCATGATTTCGCATTTCCCGAGTCTCTCCTTCAGTGGAAATACAAAACGGACACGGACCTGTACGAATTTGCAAAATTGAAAATGGCTCCGTTGTGTCTGAGTTTCAGTCCTGACGGTAAAACGTTCGTCACATTTGCTGCAGACAGGAAGCTTCGTTTCTTCAAGTAAGTAACAGCAAAAGTTGTCGTTGCAACTTGCAGCCCGTCTTTTTCTTGTCCATTGAATGTTTCTTGTTAACTGCATCAGAAAGCTGTCGATATTCATCGACACATTTTGTATATCAAAATGATGACCAACCTTAATAGTTTTTTGTTTCTTACCTTTATCAAGATCTAGCAATAGCTCTAGGCTTAACTTATAGATACATACATTGACAGCTTCATAGATTTTGTGCACTTTCTGTGATGAGTAAATAGCTGTGCACTGTGCTCTAAAGTGAAACTTGCCTCGAATTAAACCAAGCTTCACATACTTTTGCAACGTTTAGAGTTTTCCTCTTCTTCTTCATCTTCCATGGCCGCAGCTCCTTTCGGATCACGCAAACAGACGCGTCACACAGCGGTTCCAACTTTCTCAATCCTGTACCAGAGTTTGAGCTTCGGCAGAAGACAACTGGAGTCTGGAACAGACTCCTTCCATATGTTTGCACCAGGTTAATCTTGGCCGT